CTCAGCCCTTTCAGATTTGAACAAATTATACCTTACTTGATATATACTTTGAATGCTATTTGAAAAAGTTTCCTACTGTGGAAATAATGATCCATTGTGAATGAAAGCTGACTGTTGTTTTGAATTTCTGTGTTTTTCTGAGCTTATACTGTATTTTTATTCTTTTGGAAAGGTCTCTCTTGAAAAGGAAGTCTTGATCTCAGTGAGACTTCCTGTTTAAATAAAGGATTAACTAACTAACTAACTAACTGAAACGACAGCATCTCATCCTACAGAGGATGAGGGCATATTGTGCAATACAAGAGTAACACATAATAAAAAATCTTATTTAATTTGTTATACAATGCAATTATTAAAGTATAATTCTCGTTTCTTACAGTCTGGGTCTTGTTATTATAGTTTTAGCCATTATTCCTGTCTGTATTAAAAACACTGTACTTAGGAAGGTAATTGCTGAGATCTGAACAGTAAAACAGTAAACAGTAAAATTATAACACAAACTGTCATTTTTGGACAAATAATCACAGTTTATGGACTGACTTCATGCTATTTGTGCGCCCAGTTTTCCTGTGCAATGAGGGATTATTGGTGACATTTTAGGTGTGCTCGTCTTCAGTTTTACCTTGAAATAAAGTGGCTTGGACGATCTGTCACTCTTTACTGGTTGAATGTTGTTTTAGAAAAGTTCCAGATCTCAGCTCTAACTTCTTTTGTGAGTAATCATAACCAAACCAAACCAAACCGCCTAACAAGAGCCGTGTTGTAATTAACATGAATATTAATATTAGGTATTCCAACACAATGCTAACCATAGTACCTTTAGCATATCTGGTCGTGGTTTGTCAATGTCAGTGACTAGATTGTAGAGATGAACGAGGGCCTCTCGTATGAAACACTCACGGTCTCTGTACCTTCGCAGGGCCTCACACACCTGGTTCTCATTAGCTTCTCCAGTTACCTGAACACACACAGCACATCAGCACTCAGTCAGACAGACAGGAAATGCAGAGGGTGTATTCAGCATACATACAAACAGAGCCTCAAGTCAAAGACAAATGAGAAACGTATGCGAGAATCAAGCTCAAGTGACTACTCATAACACTCGCTGATGTCCCGGCATGTCACAAACCACAATACGACATCAGCTCTGGTAAACTCAAGTCCTTACTTTAAGGTTTTTATGTGAAGACAGGACATGACACGAGCTAGCCCCGGTGGCTAGCAGGCCCAAGAACACCAGTCTACCCCTAGCCTCCACAAACGCTCTGACGGCTGCTTCAGTGACTCTCTTCCGTCCAGAGATGTCTAGAGAAACAAGGGAAGGGAGGACCTGGAGACTCCCCTCCAGAAGCTGCCGCACTGTCTCGTCGCCATCTCTCCCATCACTGTCCACAGTAATATGGTCGTCTGAAAAGTCTAGATGCCTGAGAGCGTGAAGCTGGTTGAAGACAAACAGCAACCTTGCAGGCGACATATCCAGCTGCCGCAGCCGGTGGGCGATCAAAGATCTCAAGGTGTTCTTACAGTCAAGGAGTGCAGTAAGGTTTGAGACGGGACTACAGGAGATATCCAGGCTCTCCAGCTGAGGGAGAGTGCAGATATCCTCAAGGACAGCATCAGTCAGGTCTGTGTTGGCAAGGTTCAGTGTCCTCAAGCCTTGCAGGAAGCTAAAGCCAACACGGCTCCCTCCATCCTCCTCCAGAGACTCCCAGTCCAGATGTAGCCCACTGAGGGACAACCTCTGCAGGCTGGATCGGCATTCCGGGTTGGAGGCCAGGCCTGAGATGATGTTCGCCCCGGTGAGGCCCCCAGACACCCAGGAAGCATCTAGTTCCTGGAGCCGGTGAGGGCACAGGGCCAGGCGAAAAGCTCCTGCAGACACTGGACAGCAGCGGATGAAGGCTCGGCGCAGCCGGAGCTCTTTGCAGTTTCGGAAAATCCCAACAGTTGTGTCATTCAGTATCCCTTGTAGGGAAAAGCAAACAGAGGGATGATGTTGTAGGAAAAGTAGCATCATCTTAGCCACATTTATGTTTGTGGAACAGACTTTTCCCACCGTTTTAGCCTGGCATAGGGCACAGTGAACTAATAGGTCGTATGATGATAGGGTAAGTTAAGAAAACAGCATTCTGACATTTTAATTAAATCTTGTTTATACAGGAAGTTATGTGCCTGAAGAACTAACCGAAGGTCATAGGAGAGTCACATTTGTCATGGTGTGAGCTTATTTGTCCCTTTTCTACAACTTAACTATCTCTCCTCTACTAAATCACTCCACAGCTGCACTACAGCCCTCAGCTGTTGATACTGATGTTGTTGGAGCCTTTTCAGTCCTCCTGACCTACCTTTAGTTGCCATCTTATGCAGTAACTGGTCAACCATCTCCTGTGGGAACAGTGGGGCCCAGCTGAGGCACATGGAGCCGTCTGCTCGCCTGCTACACAGAGCATCAAGGCTGCGGCACACCTGAGCCAAGCAGAGGTCACATAGGGCCCGGGGTCCCTCAGCATCCTGAAACACATCAACAGGTAATGAGAAGAGTCATTCAACTGGGTAATTACATATAATAGTGTAACTTTAGCTATAAGCACAAGTGCAGTCATCTTAAAGGGTCAGTTCACACAAATTTCAGAGAAAACCTATTAAAAGTCAATTTGGGTGTAACGACCTCAACGTATATGGGTGGTATTAATAATTCTGTGTTGTACAGGGTGTAATACATCTATGCAGAAACCCTATATATGTTCACACTGAATACACTGTTAAGCACATATAGGCCCTGACAGTTGTCTCTCAGGCTTCTTCCATCGGGGCTCAACAGATCCACAGTGACACAGGATCTCTAACGCTGCAGGAGTCTAATTTTATCCGCAACAGATGAGGCACTGCGCACAAGTAAAGCCCGTTTAAATCACCTAATCCAGCTGATCTCTGTAGGGCACAGTGGACAAAAGCAACTGGTCCTATAGTATATAACGTTAGGCTAAGCGTTTGTCATTGACACAAAGTTCACCAAACTAAAACACTGCCAACACCACATAGAAGGGAACGGGGTCAAACTCACCATGCTTGAAAGGTAAACAGTCGACAGGGAAGTGAAAAAAAACAAATACCACTAACACGCCGTTCAGCACATTTTTAAATTACAATACGTCATTATTTGAACCAGTTTCCTCCCTTTAAATCAAAGAAAAGAGAAATGAAATCTTCTGTTGTGATTAACGTTACAGCCGTTACTGCTGACCGTCGACTGTCAACTGTCACTGTCTGACCCCGCCTCCTATTGGTCAGTGCGAATGACGTCACCGGGGTTGTTTGAACTATGCTAGCTTCTTCATTCATCAACTCTATCTATCTATCTATCTATCTATCTATCGTACTTTCTTGCACATTGCAGTGTTTTTCTAGCAGTGGTGGGAAGTAACTAAGTACATTTACTCAAGTACTGTACTTAGGTGCATGTATAGTTACTAGTTACTTTTTACATAAAAACTCCTTCCAGCACTGGTTTCTATTTAGGATTAATGTAGGCTACCTGCAACAGCTGTGAAGGTGGCAATAAACTCGTTTAGCCACAAGGAGGGGCTCACAGAGAGAGCTGGAATTTAACATTTAACCTGTGTGACAGCTTATGTTAGTAATAGGGAAATGTACATTTTCAATACTAAACAATGAATCCCTAAATACAAAGGCCCAAACTCCCTTTGGTACATACAAACTATATAGAAGGACCTTGCCTTGTGTCTAATGTGACATTAGGGCCCAAATGTAGCATGGAGGTGTCCCACAAGGACACAAACAAGTCCTGTTTTATGTTTTTAAAAAACACAGAGACATTGTCCTGCTAAGATTGTTTATTTTTTAAGTATCTCATATTTCACAAGAAAAAAAGAAAACATTTGTCAAAGTTCAGAAAATTAACCATAATAATTTTGTGTAAAAAAAAAAAAAAATCTTTCTGATTCCTTACATCGTCTTGGGCCCTCTCAAGTTTATTACGGGACCCATCAGTTGGGCTCGACCCCCATATTGGAAACGCTGATTCAGACAACACAAGAGAGAGGCTTGTTAACTGTGGTTCAGATGACGTTTTCCAGGCATGGACTGAATTAGCACAAATGTGTTTTCTGAGCTTCTTTCAATAACAACTTCCTCCCAACACATGTTCTTCTATGTATAATTTATTTAGATTGAACGACCTCTATTATATACAACCGACTACCTTCGAGACACACATACGCAAACACATGTTCTCATACATGTACGGGTCACACGCAAGCATACACTCACACTCCTACATTATGAATGTCCTGCCTCGATTGTTGTTAAGCAAATGTGTCCTCCCACATGCTGAAGTATTTCTCCCCACGCAGAGAATCCCCATGCATCAAAGCCTGTGCTTCCTCCTCAATCCAAAACATTTAGCTGGGGGGCGTTCTTTTTGTCTGCAAAGCCCTTCGCATATTGTCCTCATAACCAAATAAACACAGCTGCCAATAGCTCTTGGATTGCCGCAAGAGACACACACATCCCATATACGGAGCAAACACAAGAGAAACGCTCACATCCAGAACAGACCTTCCGCTCGATATGCTAAAGCTACTGGATCACCAGAATCACTCAGTCATTAGATTAGAGCTGATAAGAAACAGCTTTGTGAGGAGGAGTAAGTAGACTATGAAAAATAGCAGTTATATGAATGAAGCTGTCAGATGTGTGTATTCATGTGCGTGTCATCAACTTCTATAAGACAAATAGTGCATGTGGGAGGCAGTACAACCTTGTAACAAGACCATATGAGAGTTAAATGATGACAGCTTGATTTGGAGTGAGTGTCTTCACCCCTCTTGCTGACTCCCAGCCAGTATGATTCACCGCTTAGTTTTTCATTTGTGGTGAAACCTTATATTAGGAGGAGTCTGTCTTTTCTTCCCAAACTTTACGCAACATCAGAGGAGGAAGGCAGGGCAAAGCCTTCCCTCTGCTCAGACTACAGAGAAAATCACACCATCAGCCTCCCTCTTTCTGCATATGGACCACCCTCTACTGTTCTCCTAGTGGAGAGTGTTTGCTTGTGCCACAGCTGTATGCAGGCCTTCATTCTTAATGAGAGCAAAGACAGAGGGAGACTGAGAGTGAGAGGAGGAGAATGGAAAGCATGAAGCTGCAAAAGAAACACAACTGAGACACCAAGCTGGGTCTTACCTGCACCTCCTGGACCGCTGCCTCAACTCACTGACACAGGTAAGATTTGTATTTTTTTTTTTTTCTGTAATCATGGTATTTGAAAAATTAATGACATTTGAATGCTTTTTATTTATTCAAACTCCTGAGACTTTAGATTTCCCGGTCATTACTATGAATAAATAAGTAAAGGTAACAATGAAGTTGGATTTAAGTCCTCTAGATGTGAATATGAATTTGAGCTGTAATTTATACTTGTTTTAATATTCCATATGTACATCTGGTATAGACCCCATGATCATATACACCATGTACAAAGCTCATGCATCGTGTCGTCCCCTCAGCAGACAGACCTAATCAGTGGCACCATCAGAATAACTTGTGGGCTAATTGGCAGAGTCCTAAGAATCTGCTGGCCCAGGGCAAAAGCCACAACAAAGTTAGACTGGAAAACTTGGACATTCTGATATGCAATACATTCATGGTGTATGTTGAAATAAAGTTGTAGAGAAAAGAGGGGACGCAAATGTGGTATTGGGATAAACTTTTTGAGGGTTTTAGTGTAAAAGAAAATCTTTTAATTGGGGAGCTTACCAGTAGACAGTTATAGCTCAGTGGCACCACTTAGAGTCAGTGGGCCGATTGGCAGAGTCCTCCTGTTCCTCTGGGCTGGGAAAACCAGCCACCGCAAAGTTTGACCTGTCTGGTTGTAAGGACTGCATTAATATAGATGAGGTGGCTGGCTCTGGTCAGGTCTCGCTCTGAGGGAGGAGAGGAGAAAATACCAGTTTAATAAGTCAACAAAAAAACAGGGCAGCTGCGGCTGACTTGATGAAGACCAGCAGGGTGTGAACGACAGAGAGAAACCTGGTGGTAATAACTGCCGATGAGATTCACAGCCCTGGCTGAGGAGCCTCTGTGTAAACACTGTCACTCCTGTCAGACCAGGGCCTGTGAGATTCATATTGTGGGCTTGGAGACGTGAAGACGGGCCAATTGCTGAGACCGAGCTATTGAAGGGGATGACCTGTGATTACGGAAAGACAGGAAAAAGTCCTCTCCGGGTAATAATAACTGTGTGACAGTGCCAAGGTGTTTCTGAGCTCTGACACATGGCCCGTTTTCCCTAAAGTGTCTTTTCCTATTCCCCCAAATGGTTTATAATCTGTGACAAAACAAACTGCAGCTTGTTCCATATTTTGAAGACAAAATACAGGCGCCGGGGCACTTTTGAACTTTTAAGCCAGTTATTAAAAATTAATGTTGGCTCAGACACTTTCTTTCTGTCAATAAGTCATTGTGCCTTATGAAAACACAAAAACCTGATGTTAAATATTTTCCTTGAGACAAGCATTTTTTCCTTCGACAATGATAAAAGAGAACTATTCTGCTACAGCAGCAGTTTGAGCTTAGGTAATGCTCTGGGATCTGTCCCATTAACTGTGGTCAGGACTCTTCAGTGCAACTAAACATCAAGAAGAGACCACAGAAATGATTCAAAGCCCCTGCTGTCTCTGTCTTGAACCCATGTAATTCTGCTCCTTTTGCATCTGTTAAAATCCGCTGCAGATTTGTTTTGATGAGCTCCGATGTGAACTGGGTCATATTGTGTGCCTGTCAGAAGTGTTAGATGAAGGTTACTTAACCTCTTTGGGCATATCCACCAGACTGCCTTCTGGCTGGATTTGGTCCGACTGCCAAAATCAGCCTGAAGTTGGCTCACCGTTAGCTCCACTTCCAGATCCAATCCTCGTTATTAAAGATGGAAGGAGGGATCTTTCACTTAGCATGCATTTTTGAACGTCACCCACCCCTGCTCCATTCGTTGTGCTGTCAAAACCAATAAGATCAAAACACAAGCTTCCCTTCCAAAAATAGACTCCAGAAAACATTACTCATAAATCAGGGATTCCTGCTCCCCCTGCTGCTCCTCAGACACATCCATTTATTTTATTCCTTACCAAATTCAGATTTATCTACTTATGTACCAGCCAGGCAGAAATGGCAAGTTAAAATGAGTCAGTGAGGCCCAATGATAATCACCTGCTGACTTCTACCATTACTGACATACGCAGCTCTACACATGAATCCATCAAAGACTAGCAGTGGACGCTTTCTCATTAAAGTGACATTTATAATGACATCCATGGCCACATTAACATTTGTAACATACTAAGCCAATGCAGGTACACTGAAAGGCTATAGGGGAGGTTCATGGAAGGTCTGAGCCAGGAGATCTACAGAAATATGAAAAACAGATCCAGCACTTGCACACACCCAGACACCTGATACAGAAGTGGTGAGGGCTGTAATGAAAGAGAACCCATGAGGGAATGTATTGAAAATATGAGTTAAGATAACAGATTTGTGGTGGGTGGGTGGTACTGCTCTTACTCCACCACAAGATTACCAGAAGGCACATCTTGCCGGGGGCAGGACTGTCTGCAGTACTTGTGTGAAGCCAGCTGTGCCTTTGCCACAGTCTGCTAGTTTTCACTTTACATTTTAATGCCCACTTACTTCATAATTAAGCAAGACTCTTGTGTTGAGTTTTAACTGGAAGCTCTCTTCTGTATCATGCCAACTGCTGCTCCTTGACTATTTAAGATTTGCAGCCACAGTGGTTATATTGGATTAGGGGAAAAAAGAAAACATCTGGTAGGAAATTGAACAAAAAGTACAACATGAGCGGTAACAAAAAGAAAACTTCTTTGTAAATACTTGGACCAAATTAAAGAAAGAGTCATTGACATTCAATATCTTTCTTATTGTCAACACAGCCAATGAAAGGACCACAGCCAACAGTGAGTTCATCTTACTAACAAGTAGGTCTGTGTAGCCAAAGCGTGGTATAGCATCTTAACACACTCACAATGGCCATGTTAAAGTGCTGATTTTTAGCAGGTATAATGTTTGCCATGTTCACCATCATAGTTTAGCGTAATTGCATGCTAACATTTGCTAATTAACACAAAGTATAACGGAGGCAGAATATCGTTAGTTGTGCAAGTATTTAGTTATAAACTAACTAACTAAAATATTTTGACCTGATGATAGCCAAGATAAAAAGTCAGGTTATCACCAAAGTGATTACAATTCATTCTGAGGGGGACATGAATGTGTATATCAAATTTCATGCTCTTCATGCAGCTAACCTAGCTAAAAATTAAACTATAGATATTTGTGAGTCATTTTCAAGATTGAAGTTTTTTGTAGGAATCAATGGATTTAGGGCTGAGTGCCAAAGACAAATAGGGAAGTTGTAAAGTTATGAGAGACAGACTAATACAATATTGGTTTTAAAGAAGTGTAACATGGAATAACACCAATCTTTTCCTTAAGTATAATGGTTGCATTTTTCATTCTTTTTTATAGATCTTTAGCTTGTTTTGTGATAAAGAGAGGAGGAACCATGAGGCCTGGAACATGGAGCCTATTTATTCTGTTTTGTCTGTCCTTCTGGGACAACAGCGAAGCCCTCACCAAGAACCCCATCCTCTCCCGGATACGTAGAGCTCCAGAGGCCAGCGGAGAAGGCAAAAAATGCTCCTACACCTTCCTGGTCCCTGAGCAAAAGATCACAGGACCCATCTGTGCCGCCCGCGGTTATTCCACCGACAAAGACCGAGTGACACGCCTAGATGTGGCTTCGGTGCGTGACCTCCTGTCAAAGCAGCGTCGGGAGATGGAGACTTTGAAGCTGGTGGTGGATGTGGATGGCAACTTGGTGAATGAGATGAAGCTGCTCAGGAAAGAGAGTAGGAACATGAACTCCAGAGTGACCCAGCTCTACATGCAGCTGCTGCACGAGATCATCAGGAAGAGGGACAACTCACTGGAGCTGGCACAGCTGGAGACACGCATCCTCAATGCCACCTCTGAGTCTCTGCGCTTGGCCTCCAGGTACAGGGAACTGGAGGCCAAATACTCAGCCCTGTCTGCAGTAGTCAACAACCAGTCAGTGTTGATTGGGGCACTAGAGGAGCGTTGTATGCAGGTCTACAGCCGGAGGCATGAGCAGTCACCCATGGGACCTCCACTTGTGCAGGTGGTGCCTGAGAACATTCCTGTTAATGTGCCACGTTTCACCAATGAGATCCAGAGGGACAACACCAGAGGGTTTGCCCGAGAGAGGGGCTCTCGCTCTGGGCCGTCACCTACAAGTGGCACCCTGGAGGTTCAGAAACCCCCACAGAGAAACTTCAGTGCTGAAGGTGAGTGCGAGAATTAGTTAGTAAGTGATCCATCCATTCATCCATCCATCCATCCATCCATTCATCCATTCATCCATTCATTCATTTTCATTTTCATTCATTTATTCATTGATTCATTCTAACAAATCAGAAACAGTCATGGTAAAAATGTAGGCTATAGCAGGCCAACCATAACAAAATAATAACCACTGACTTTGAATACATCTGCAGGTGGGCCAGTGGCCTCATTTTCAAAGGTTAAAGATTTGCAAATTCAGCTGGAACTCTGCTTCCCCCTCAACAGAAAGAACACAAATCAGGATGGAAATAAAAATGTTGTAACGTCTCAATTGAGGCAGGGGACCTAAAGCAAAGCAAAGAAAGACCTAACCAGTGCGATTTTGCTCATCAACAGAAATTCCTGACACATTTAGGTTGCTCTCACCCAAGAATAATAAAGTGTGTAGGATTTCAGCGCAGCTGTGTATGTAAATGATCCTTTTACAAGATCGTTCCATTGCGTGTGAGACGTAGACAAAACCCAGGCTAGCATGATAGGCTCCTGCAAACCACAAAGTAGAGGCACTTCTGGTATACCTCAAGAGGTGAATGGACTACACCTTTACATTATTATTATTATATTATGAACTAGGAGAGGGTTACTTGCCCTGCTACATATGGTGTAAATTAAAACATATTCTAATAAGAATGTAGAATTATCTCAAAAAAAGCAGATGTTAGGTACTTCTACCATGCATTAACAAGATATGTATTTTGGTTTTTTGACCTCAAACTAAGGCAAGCAATTTCTTTTTAAATTGACTTAATTTGCGTCATTGTCCTCTGCTGTTCTGGGAGGACATAGTAAACCAGTGTATCTCTGCAGACCTACATAAATATGTTTTATATTACTCTGTCTGCTTGTGTGATTTTGTTCTTGTGTACTGGTTTTTCCTACTTATTTTACTCTCTGTCAGACAGTGACTTCAGTGTTTCCTCATCATGTAAACTTGTGGCACTCATGTTGTTGTCTCAGTCCTCTGGCATTCGAAGTAGCTAAAACTGCCCCACAAAGCCAAAACACAGTGATTGCATACTTCAAACCAGAATAATTTTTTTAGTAAACATAAACAATATATGCAACCATATAACATCTGTATAATTTTATGATATATGTAATTTGCAAAATATATATATTTTTTTAATAACTAAACTAAAATTGACAGACTTTTTACGACCTGTTTACCCTAATTGGAATATCAATTATGATTTAAATATGTCATATATATCATGTATCGTAAATATACCACATAAATAAGGCAGATGGTAAATCTAATCATAATGGAGGAAATGTAACACCATATAAAAAAGTCGGAATAAGGTTTTAAACTATCTATCCTTTACACACTTCCTCCTCTCTCATTTCCAGCTGGTCCCTGTCTTTTTTTACCACCTGCCTCGCTCTCTTATTGTTCCTTCCTTCAGGCCCATTCAGAGACTGTCTCGAGGCGCAGGAAGCTGGCCACAGCACCAGCGGCATGTACCTGATCAGACCAGACGAATCAGAGAGGCCTGTGCAGGTCTGGTGTGAACAGGATATAGACAACGGGGGCTGGACCGTTATCCAGAGCAGGAGAGACGGGTCGGTTAACTTCTTCAGGAACTGGGATAACTACAAGGTGATGATAATGACACTTCCCCTGCCCTATCTGTCTTCTTTTTCTGTCTCCTCCCCTGAGCTAACCAGAATATTTGGCTCATCCAGAGACAACAGGGGTCCCATTACATGGAACATCTAGAGGAACCATCTGGGGTCTTTGGGACTATTTCCTGGGCCAGAATCCTTGTGTTTTCACTTACTGTAAAATATAATGCCCAGTCAGCAGCACTATTCGTCCGAGGTCATTTGGTTTGCGATTCCCATTATGAAACGTTGGATTGCCCACTAGGAAGGTATGTTCCATAGCTGAAACTGAAGGCATTTCTTTCCAAAACCGCTACTACTATGGTGCCTTCCTGGATTGCTGGCTTGTTGGCTTACTACACCACACCATATAGACCCTCTCATCAAAGCTCTGTGAGAATGGAGTATATCGCTGCTGGCAGCCTCGGTGATCTAGTGTTCCATTCAGCCCGGCCAGGCTTGTGCATGTGTAACTGGAAGCTAAATTGCTCTCTTCAACATTGATTTGCTTCTGCGCTCTCCCACAAAGCCACCACATGTACACACACACAGCACCAGAGAGGAGGCCACGGACTGAAACCCTACATCATTCATCATCTGCTGGCTCACCAAGCCAATCCACAATCACAAACCTCAACCTTCTCTACCAAGTGAAGTGTTCTGGAGGCACATGGCCAGATGCAGATTGCTTGCGATTATTCAACACAAGCGCCCAGGCCAGTTTCACCATTAGCAGGGATCCAAGAGATCTTTTGGGTTTGAGCGATGAACCAGCATTCTGAAGATGGATGCTTATTTTCCTGCATAAACCTTACAACATGTCTTTCTTAGAATTTTCAAAGACAAGGCATTCTTTTACCACAATGTTTTTTTCTTTTGAAGTTTTGTAGTTTGTCTTAACTACAGAACTGTGACCAAAATGTCATCAAAAAGAAAATTCTCATTTGTTCTGTGACAATCCCAGAGCCCCATCCACAAGGATGTTGACGTTCCTAAACAATTCTCATGTTTCTAAACTCCTTTTTTCTGTAATCTTTCTCTAACCTTCCTTTTAATCTTCTTTTGATTCAGAGCGGCTTTGGCAACATAGACGGGGAATACTGGCTCGGTCTGGAAGGCATCTACAACCTTGGGAGGCAGGGGGACTACAAGCTGCTGGTGGAGCTGGAAGACTGGATGGGCAAGAAGGTCTACGCTCAGTACAGCAGCTTTCATCTAGAGCCTGAGAGTGAGGGTTACCGCCTGCGGCTGGGCACCTACCAGGGCAATGCCGGAGACTCCCTGAGCAGTCACAACGGCAAACAGTTCACTACTTTGGATCGAGACAAGGACGCCTTCTCAGGTAGATGAGTTGTTCCCTTTGCCTTCTTGTAGCAAATAGCCTTCTTTGACTTGCATAATAATATTTTTTATTGAAATTTCAAACCTCTCTTTTAACATACAGTTTTTTTTTATTGGTCAAAAATCAGACACTCCAGACACTCTAAAAAAAACCACATTTTTGGAATGTGATTTTGTGAGATGTGAGAAGCAAGTGACATAAAAATGTTTAACTTTATGCAAATATGGGGGCACAATTCTCCTGGAGGCTGACCGTGTCCATGAAGGAGATGATTATTGTAGTTTATGTTTGATTATAAATACAAAAAAGACAGTGTCACACAAATTGTTGTAGAAAGTGGTATGCTGTTTTTTTTACACAATGCAAAACAGAAAGCTATGATTTATTTCAATGTGTAGATGTTTTCAAATCATAGGTGTTTCTTCTCTGTGAGAAACACACTTCCTCATAGAGCATATCCTTACCCTTCCTGTTTGTCCACAACAGGTAACTGTGCCCATTTCCATAAAGGAGGCTGGTGGTACAACTCTTGTGGCCAAGCCAATCTTAACGGTGTCTGGTACACCGGAGGCGTCTACCGCAGCAAATTCCAAGATGGGATTTTCTGGGCCGACTATGGCGGAGGCTTCTACTCTATGAAGTCTGTCCGTATGCTGATCAGGCCCATAGACTGAGGAGATACTGTAAGCCAGGCTGGTCAAGGGGCAGCAATGGAGGCCAGGGCAAACTTGAACCTAATTCTAAACCTTGTAACTGTATACGTCATCAGCAACTGGTTGAACACACATAAAAGAACTACACCAATGGAGACTACCAACCATCAATAGTGACTTGAAATGCCTCCTCTAACAGACATTGACTCTACGTGGACATTGTTGTCTTTATATCATAATAGATGCACACATAGAAGGATTTAAGGGACACGACTATTTATAGTAAGCCATACAGCTCCACCAAATACATATGATGGTGAAGGGAAATTAAGTATCACTGCCAAAATTTTGCAGCTAAATAATGCAAGCTGTCTTTCTGATTAAGAGAACGCAGTGTTCTCCTCATTACTAGGTCGCCCCGTGGAGAGGAGGCACCACATCCTAACAACACTTCATTGGAATTGATTTCATTCATAAGCTTTAGTGTCACAAGATCTAAATGCAGCTCTTCCTACCTCGCCAAGATAAACATGTGGGGGGAAACACTCGTTCATGGTGTTTAACTTGTGTTATATTTGCTGGGAGCTGGAAGATAAATTTCATTAATACCTATATAGATTTATTTAGACTCCGTATCAACTTCTGCAATCTGAAAAGACCAACATCTTTAGGAATTGGAGAAAGGAAGGCGGTTTTATGTACATTTGAATACACGAAAACAATACTGAGTTTATTATTTCTCTCTACACTTAAAATGACCTTTATACTGTATGTTAAACTGCTTTGTCCAGGTGCAAATTACCAGAAATGATAATTTATGTGTATAATTAACTTATCATAACAGTGAAAAGGGCCAGGTGTCCTGAGGGAACAGTAAATGATCGTACAGAAAATAGAACTAATTTCCTCCACTGTATATACGACAATCATTCTAGTGTGCTTGCACATATGGAAATTGCTGTGATATGTTTTTCTCATTTGGCTGTTGATTAAATTTCAGTATGACTCTGGGAAAAAAAACAAGTATTGTTTGGAGAAAAAAAAGATGGAATTACGTTGTGTTTTGAGTGGTTTTCAAGCACGAAAAATATGCCGACCAAGCGTGTTGAGCGTTAAAGGCAATGGGACAGACAACGAGAAACACATTGCTGAAAGCCAGACAGGATGGAGGAAGAAAAAGAGAGGAGAGAGAAGGNNGGGGGGGGGGGTGAACTGGGATGGAATCGGTCCAAATTTCCAAGTTACCCCCCCTCCCCCAACCCACCCCCTCTTCTTTTTAAATACAGAGAAATTTACATTCTTTCCACAGAAAAGTGCTTGAACTGTATGTTTTCATAAAAATAGCTGTCACTGACAAGGTCACGGGTGCCTGCAGTCTGTAATCAATGGTATGAAAGCAGAGCGGCATCCTTTTGGTGGAACCATCCCAGAGGAGAGGGGAGCCGGGGGGGATTTGAAGTGGTGGGTCTGCTTTGAACAACAGTGCTGCATCCAACAGCCCTTAGTCTCTGAGCCCAAAATAGATACTCATATTGTGTTTTTTCTTATTGACCACAACCACCCTCACACCCATCTCTTTAACAAACTTTTATAAAGCAACAAAACACAAACTGGGAGACCCGTCAAACCCAACTGGACATGGAAGTATGTTTATGTACATGTAAAAGAGCAGCGTCTAATAAAAACGGCATCATAATGTTAAAATTAAACAGCAATAAAAGTTGAAACCAGTGAGTCACAATACTTGGCAGAACAGTATTACACAACTAACAGTCAATAAATTGAGAACATTTAGGGTCACATCAGGGGAGATTCTTGTTCATTCGGATTCAAAAGAACTCCTTTCATGTGCCATGCTGATTTATACTGTTAACCAAGTCATAATTAGTACATGACATTTTACTTTTTAGTCTTTCTTAAGATTACTTGGACGTTCCAAACTAACTTGTGGGTGTGAGTCATGCAGATCAAATGTTGTTGTTTGAGTCAAACAGATACTGTAAGTCCTTTTGGAAGGAGGTGCCAAAGAATGTTTTCTTACTAAAAATATTAGGCATAACTGCGTTTATCTGTAATAAGAGTTCTTTATAATGGATATGGTAAGTGTGCTTTCTGTTGGCATGAAAAAGTTGTGAGGAGACAGATGAATACTTTACAGAGACATCTCGTTTCAAGTAGTAACACATTTCTGCGGATGACTGGGTAAGGGCAAGTCATCATTTCAAGTCAGGCTGACAACCTGAACTACACGGCTCTTTTTCACTGTCTATTCTTCTCGTTCCACTGCCCAACAAAACACAATGAATACTTTTATACTTTAAATTTGTCACATCATCAAACATCTGCAGGGTTTGTGTCTTGCGTGTCTGTATTATTTTTTTATTTTAAGAAATAGGTCGACTTTTTTAGTAATATTCAGAGAGGAGAAAATCCATACACATCTCGTGTCTGTATATAAAGCTACAGCCTCCAAGCAATTAGTTTAGCTTAGCACAGAAACTAGAAGATTGATTGCATTTGTACCCAAAGGAATAGTTTAAAATAAAAATAGGAGATATATCATAGAGATAAATCATAGAATTCGGTGATTAATACCACGGTCATGTCTGTGTAGTAAATATGAAGCTAGAACCAGCAGACAGTTAGCCTATGTTAGAATAAAGACTGGAAATAGAGCAAGCCTGGCTCTGTGCAAAGTTTAAAACATCACCAGTATCTATACAGCTCTCTAATTAACATAACTCTTTTAATTTATCCAAAAAACAATGTAGAAACAACAAGTTGTGGTTTTACTGGCAATACTCCAACACATAAATTCCTCTAAGAACTTCTTGTCCCTAGTTGTCAGGTTTTTTTTTTGTATGGATGAAACAAACTAAATATAGTGTGTTAATTAGTAAAATTAGGTAATAGTTGGTGGACACCAAGACACCAAGAGCCAGGCTACCTGTTTCAAGACATTAGAGTGGAAATGATCTTTTTATCTCACTCTTGACAAAAAAGCAAATGAGCACATTTCCAAAAATGTCAAACTATTAATTTTACAAATCCTATCTAAGTGTATGTATCCAATATGAGAATAGATAGGTGTGTCAACCCACACAAGCTCCTTTACTAGGGTGTATACAGTTGAAAAGGTCAAGTGCATGCTCAGACACTCTTCCAAGAGTTTTATTGAACAGCGAGCCATCTGAGCACACTTGTTCTTTAAACCTTACCCTTTTTTATGGCAGGGCCACCTTCCTGTGACAAGTCTGCCTCTCAAACGTTGAGCTCAACCACTGCACAGACTGCCAGTGTGGGATGCTCCGTCACCACAGGAGCTGTAACTGAAGTCTTCCAATAATTCAGCCAACCACACACTGAACCCTCACATTTTATACAGCCTCGTGGGGGTATGGAAATGCATGATTAGCCTACCAAAACCAAACTCCTGCGCAGTCAGACGTTGGAACAGAGAAGGTGACATCCTTGGCTCGGGTGAGGGGACCACACTCAAGCCTGCACCCCGTCGACTACCTGGCCGGCAGACCAGGGATGGCCGAGGGCTGCTGCAGTGTGGTCCTCTGAGAACTGCTGCAGGTTTCAGAAGTGAAAGCCCTCTTTGTCGCTAAGTGAAGCTTTGCTGTCCATGAATTTCACCACCAAAGTGGCACCAGGCTCGGAAGATTTTTTGGAGAAGCTGGCTCTACTGCTGTTTGCTGAAAGACATCTGCTGTTCGGGGAATGTCCGTGAGAGTGACTCATTAGGCCTCAAAAGTTCAGTTAGTGTCAACCAGCAAATCAACATACAGGATGTGGAGCTGTTTTCTGTGAAAATAAACACCGTGACTAAGTTTTGCCCAAACTTGAACAGTTAAACAACTCCATAACTAAATCCGTTCCTAAGTGCCCTTTTGATTTAAAGCTTAACAGACACTTGCTTAAGATGGATGATCATCTGGAGGGATCTGGGAAGGCTCACTGAGCTGCAGACAGCGGCAGTTTCCACTCTCCTTTATTAGTCTAAAACATACAGAGGAGTGATATTTCATTTAGCTGTGGAGCCTAGAAACGAGTGCTGAGATTGCAAAAGTGAGATTTATTTTAAAAGAGTTTTTTTGACAGAAAGAAGCAATCTAAGCACCGATCGCAACCCAGGGATAACAAACAAAGGAACATTTGAGCCATGAGAAGCGTGCTCCTTAAGTTTCAGCTGCCTCCAAACAGATACGCAGTCTGTTAAATACATCTATTAGTGACCAAACATTCAGATGGTTTTCATTGTTCATGTGGTTGGCATAAAAAGCTTGTTTATTCTAGACTCAAACCTTGAAACCCTGTTATCAAATGAATCTCCTTTGTAAAGAAGTATGACCTCAGAACACTGTGGAGTCAGCATTAGTCACTAAACTGGAGGACCCACTCATAGTCTGCTGTATGACCGTTAACTGTATGTTTTCTGGATATACGATTTCACTTATTGTGATGAATGGCATGAGTCATGGAGGTCTGTTTAAGGCTTCAGGACCGCCTGGGGAGACAGAGCCAAAAGAGCGATCGCCCTGACCACTCAACTGTTTTTACACCATAGTTAAAACACTGAAAAACAAAAGGGCCTCCCAGCCTAAACCTGCTCAAGAGAGGCATGAGCCAAAGAGCCACAAAGAACAACAGAAGGAACCACATGAATGTTTTACATCCAGCCCAGTGGAGCAGTAGCATCAATTCTGGTATTTTCTTCCAGCTGCTAACAATAAATTCTACATATAACTGAAAAAGACAATAGTTTGCAGCATAAGTTAGAAATAATAGCATAAAAAATGATACAAAAAGAGGAATACAGAAGAGCCCACACCAAGGCATAGTCAAATGAAATTAAAGTCCTGCTGTAGCAAACCCCGGATGTGCTTTAAATGTGATAATTTTTTCCACCAGTTCAGAATTTATCTGGTAACTGTACTATTGAAATGATAGAACAGGAAATATCCTGTCTGATCTCTTCATTTAGCAGTAGTTCATGTTTCAGCTGCTGCATTCTAAAGTAGCTGCAGATGTGAGTGACTTGAATGGGGCAGGAATTTCAGTGGTTAAAATGGGATTTGATTTTTTTTTTTTTTTTTAAATAACAGCTTTCTCCAATTTTATTAAAACTCCTCCGATTCTGGCAGCTGGCTTTGTTTTGGAAGGAGGTTACTAAGATCGTTAAAGGCAGTATTTCTGGAGAAAGGGGAACCAAAAAAACATCCCCTTTACATCTACTTTACTGAGTAGTAAAAAGTTGAAAGATCATTAGATCAACATTGATAATACATTCATGCTGATTCATTCTTACTTTGTTGCAACTCTGCTTTAATCCCCACAAGATCATCTTTTTTTTCTGACATTGATCAGGTCACCCTACAGCCACACACTTTACATACATGAGGTCAGGATAATGATCTCAGGGTGCCATATGAGCTCATATGTTTTGGAAATAAACATTCTCCATTAAAAAAAAAAAACCATGAGCATTAAAACATGTAATTCTGCCTTGAAAACAGTGCTGACAGTCAGAGCTAGCCCTTTCTGCTTTGGAGTGGAAGCTGGATCTTGTCACAGCACTATATTTCTGGGGTAAAATGCACCCTCATCTTGCTACTGTGATGTGTTGACACTTTGATACAGCATGGCAGATTTCAAACGCACTGACCTACTACCTCTTTTCACTCACCATAGAGGGATTTGACAGAGTTTAGACCATACTATGATACCATCTAGTGGTAGAGTAGTTTTACTACCTAACCATGCCGTGGTCCTCACTCTGTGGCCGATGAAAGGACACACAGGATGAGTGGTTTATCAAAAATAAAAAGCACTTGTACACACACCTGACACCTTTTATAAGCATTTCACTCTCGCAAACAAATGTGCTGTGATGTGGACAAAGCGAAGAGGAAGAGGAAGGCTAATTTTAAGTGTAAAGGTAGAAATTAAAATACATGCTTGTTAGGAAAAATCTGTCTGCTATTTATTTGTACTACGATTTAATAAAAAATAATACTTCATGAAAAAGGACATTTGAATCTTACAGCGCCCCCTACAGTTGTATTTATCCATCATACTTATTATATTACATATTTAAATATGTCAGGTAAAGCGAATGGTAATATTACTTGTCATGTATCGTCACTGTTCATTGTCATATTTCTCATCCTGTTATTCAAAACT